ACTTGCCAATATCATTTCAGAAAAGAGTTTCATATCACAAGTTTACTGAACCCTACAGGGCTTCCACAAGAAAAAGACCAACTTTGTTATTCTGCCTTGACATGTCAATGATAATATATATATTATTAAAAACAAACCCAAGCAAACCCAAAAAAGTAGACAATACTAAGTACAGTCCATCAGAATGCAAATATGTCATTAGTCAAATATGTCAATATATCACAGACCACCTTTATTTCATTTTCAAACTATTCATAAAACAATATATAAATTGACTGGTATCATATGAAAAGTTATGCTGTATGCAGTAAGATCTACACAGCACATTTTACAGTGATAATATTTGAAGGATAGTGACAAGATTCCCTTGCCTTACTGCTATATATGTTATTTTTCTGTAATAAATCTTAAATTTATATCATTCTTAAAGTTAACATTTGCAGTCTCTCCCTCTGCCATTAACAAGACGCTTCAAACATTTCTAACCATAACCAATGGAGCCTGACTATGGAAGGATCTGCAATACTTGGAATATAGTTTCAAGTTAATAATATACTTTCTCCTTAACAAAAATAAATATCAGAACAGCATTAAAAAAAAAAGGGTAACATTTAACATCTACAAACTTAAGGGGTTATTTCTTATTCATATAAATTAATCCCTCACTGAGTAAATATTATCTGAATATAAATACAACAAAGTAGGAAGGAAGCAAGTATTCACCTCTCTTGCTTTCAGGAACAAGAAAAGATGTACTCACTAATTCAACCTTTTAGATATCAATTCAAGGGTTAAAGTGAAAACCAATGTTATGATACTCTCCTTATGAGTGCTAAAAATCATTGATTTTTCTTAGCCACAAGGTGGCAGGAACTTACAAGTTAAAATTTGTCTTTGAAGACATGGCCAGATTGAGGAATCCTCTTTAAAAGGTATTCATAGAGCTCGAATTAGTAAAAAGTCAACTCAAATACTTCTTGAACTAGGTTCCCAAGCTCTTCACTATCGACTGGGTCATTCACGTCTGACTGAATAATCACAGGGCATACTATGAAAATCACTTATGCTGTCCTCTGAGTACAATCAAGGAAGTTAAGTAATATCCCTGATATTTCAAAAGGAGAACACTTATATGGTAGAAAATGAGGGCCAATTATCTTCAACTATTGAAATTTTCTTTTTTTTAAAAAAAAGTTTATAATATCCTTAACATGCAAATACATACACATAAGTGTTTGGGGGTCATTATTATGTCTTAACAGCCTCATGAACTAAGGACTATTAGATTTTCATATTACTAAGGCTGTCAATCAAGATTTGACTTGGCCAAAGTCACAATCAGAAAAATGGTGGCAGAGTCCATTCCATGAACCTGAGCTCTGGAATGAATCCTCCAAATCTTTATTCTCTACTTGTACATCCACCAGCACAACTCAGTAATATCAACTCTCCAATAACAGAAGCTAAGGAGAGGAAAGAAGTTAAGTGAAACTATCAATTAAGCCCTCACAGCCTGAAAATGTGTCCTGACCAGCCTTTCTTCAATGCGAAGTGTGTGGAGAAATCACACTATGTTGGTTTAGGCAGCAGGCCATGTGGGAGCAGAGTTCTGTGAAGCAAGTCTGGGTGGAATTAGCTTCCCCCACTTCAAGCTGCTCCAGAAGTGGCCAAGAACCAGTGGACGAGCTACTATGTTTTGATAAAACGACCTTCTATAAATATCCACTGTTTCTCAAAAATACCTTTCCCTCACAAAACATAGGGAGGGGAAATTTAACAAAATCTCAGTAATAAATTTTGTTTATGAACACCAATTTTCACAGCATTGCTATCACATAATTTATTTTCTTGATTTATTAGCTTTTTTATCATCTAATTCTTGACTTAAAATTCTTGTTGGGAGGGGGGAGGACTAATATTTTTAGGTTAACAAATTCAACAGGAACTAAAACCCATTATTACTCTTTTACTATTTTCCCTACAGGAAGGAATGTCCTGGAAGACAAGGACTTGGCCCTCATTCATGGGCAACTTTTTTCGTCAGTCCTCACTCACTCACTGTCTTTAAGTCAGAACTGGCTCATAACTAACCTCCATTTGATTTCTAAGACTGTAGACACATAGTCGAAAATGCTCTCTCTTTCATGGTCTTGCTGATGGGATTTGTACAGCCAGAGCACCACGTCTTTAAGTTAGCAGCATTAGCTCTCCATGGAGTAGACCACCAGAGTTCCCTTTATGACTAATTACTATGTGCTGTCAAGTTGCCTGCAACTCATAGCAACTCTGTACAGTTCTGAAGCCTGCCCTGTCTTGAGCCATTCTCAATTCCGACACACCTACTCCCATTGCCCTAGTTACTGTATCAATCCATCTCATCCAGGGTCTTCCTCTCCTTTGCTGTCCCTGCCAAGCATTATGTCCTTTTCTAAGGACCGGTCCCTCCTGGGAATGTGCCCAAAGTATGTGAGCTGGAGCTTTAAAATCCTAGCCTCCAAATTAATAAAATATAATTATAGGAAAAAAAAAAAAAGAAAAAAAAAAGAGAAACTTGGTTTCACCCTCTCTAAGACAGACTTGTCTTCTTGGGGGTGCATGGTATGTTCAAGTCTCTTCTCCAGCACCATAACTCAAAGGCATTGATTCTTCTGTTATGCCTAGTCATGGTCCAACTCTCTGATGCATAGCAAGGAACTGCAACGACCATAGAGCCTGGATCAGGCACACCTCAATCTCTAGACTGATATCATTGTTGCTCAGTACTCTGGAGAGGTCTCTGACAGCCAGTTTTCCCAGTGTAATTCATCTTTTGATTTTCTGATTGCTGATGTTAAAGAGTGTTGACTGTGGAGCCAAGTAAGCTGTAATTGTTAACAACCTCTATCTCTTCTCCATCTATAATGATGCTGCCAACTGGCCCAGTGGTGAGAATCTTTGTTTTCTTGATGTTGAGCCTCAATCCATAGTCAAGATTACAGTCCTTGATCTTCTGCAGCAAGTGCTTCAGGTCCTCCTCAGTTAAATATTAACTGAATATTAGCTTCAGGACCAAGATCATCATTTCGCTAATGAAAATACCCAATTTATTTCTTTATCTGACTAAACTACCTAATTCTTAACAGTCTAATCCCTTCTTTGGGGATCAAAACTGACTCACTGGTGTTGAGTTGGAACCAACTCATAGCTGAACCTCCAGCCGGTTTACAGAGGCTATAAATCTTATGAGAGGAGACTGCATTTATTCCCAAAATTTATGGATGGATTTGAACTGCTTGTCTTTGGGTTGAAAGCACAACTCCTTATCCACTAGGTTACCAGAGCACTCATTTAGAGGATGAATGAAAATTAATTTGATGAGATACCACTTTTAATACATCAGATTCACAAAGTTTGCTAAAGCAGTGTTATGAAAGAGAGTATGGAGAAAAGGACTCACACAGGTCGTGAAAATTTAAACTAGTTCAAGCTTTAGGAAGAACATTTTGCCAATACCAAACAACGTTTTAAATGAATCTAGATTTCAGCTCAGTACTTCGACTTCTGTGAATTAATTCTATATATATACACAGAGGCAAACATTTGTAAAAGGGGATTTACAGGAGTAGTATGCCTAACGATTAGTCTGAAAACAAAGTAAATATTCAACATGGATCTAAGTGAGTAATGTCATAGCCATACAATCAAAATCTAAGCAACTATTTCTTCAAAAAGAAAAGTTATACATATAAAACACTCAAATGTTACGGTGGAAATTGTGCAAAAAGTAGGCAAAATATGCATGTGTATTGTGTCTTTCACTTGTCTCTGCAGAAGGAGATAGAGTAGTTGGAGAACCAAACTGGGAGAAAGACTGGCACTGTGCATCTCTGATTTGATAAATTTTGAACATTGCATGGTCTTTCCCACACAGAGGGCAGGATCTGTTGTATGGATGTTTGTGATGTGGAAATCACTGAAGAGTCTGCTGGTCTGACACTGACAGCTGTGCTGCTGGAAACCTTGGGCAATATTCCTCTGTGAGCTTCTTCTGAGAAAATCTGTCAAAAGCCACATACAAGGTACTCACTCACTTTCTCTCTTTAAGATTCTGGTAGCACAGTCTGTAGGGAGCTGCACTGCTATCCTAAAAGTGGCTGGCTCAAACATACCAGCAACTCCTCAGGAAAAAAACAGGAAATCTCCTCTGGTGAGATTTATGGTCTCTCAAGTGATCTAGAGACTCCTGAAAAACCAACGGAGGGTCAGCTATGAGCTCTACTCAAAGGCAATGAGGTTTTAATGCTTGGTGAATGTATTAGACCATTTCTAAAACTAGAGAATGATTTCTTCCTCTGATGAAAAGCCCTTCAATAAAATGCATTAACACAGTGACTGCAGCAATGGGCTCAATTGTGTCAGAGATGAGGATGGCGCAGGATAAGGCAGGGTTCAGATCTGTTATTCACAGGGTAGCTATGAGTCACACTCTACTCAACAACACCTAACAATAACACGGCGGATAATTTGATCTCTCAGCTGTGTTGGAATATACTTTCCCCACAAATTCAAAAGTCAATTACATTAGCTCAGTTACCTGCACTCTTAACAATTGAAAAATTAGTAATCCAAATGACATAAAATTTAGTACTACTGCTAAAATTGATCAACTCACCAGTTGGGGAAGGGGCAAAGAAAATAATGGACACACCATTCGATTGCAAAGAAGAAGTCTTTACGTGACCTCACATCTAGGCCTAGGCTCTGAGGTTTTTTCTTTTGCATCAAGTATGTTAATTCAACTTCATACTGTTTTATTGGCATTCAAGAAGTACAGAAAATGTACAAAACTTTTAACAAATGTGAAGTCTTACTAGGCAAGCTTTAAAAAAATTCAAGGTAAAACTTTATAAAATAGTTTCTTTCCATTAACCAAAAGCCTTTAAGTTATAAACCCCACAAAGTATGAGTTGGTATACTCAACCTAGTCATTAAAAATAGACAAGAAGTTTCAAACTGCTTACTGTCTGGCTTGGTCCTTATTGGAATAGGTTACGTTTACAACTGCAGTCTCCGATTCAGTGGTCACTAGAGGTGGGGCAGAGTGGGGGGGGGGGGGGGGGGGGGGAGAGGGGGGGGGGGGGGGAGGGAGAGAGAGAGAGAGGAGCGTTAGTTTTCTTGCTACTTCCTTTCCCTTACAAAATTGAAAGCAATTTAGAAGATATGTACCTTGCTCACAGCTTTCCACCACTCCGTACTGAACTAGAAAACTATCCAGCACCTATCAGGAGGGGGAGAAAAGAATTATAAATGTTTCATTTGCCAAGTGATTAGTAAAGGCATGAATATGCTTTAAAATCACAAAGTGATTGTATTGGGAAAGAGAAAAAGATTAACTGGGGCTTTGGTTTAGAGTTGAGGAACGGGCACCACAGAGAGGACACGGGAGCTTCACGCTCCTGCCCATCCCTGAATCCTCGTCTTAGCAGCTCATCTTCTATGGTTAAACCAATAAGTTACAATGGTTCAGCAAAGTGTTCAAAGTTATCATTGTCTGGTTTCTGAGGCAGAAAGAGACTGAGTACTTTCTCATATATACGTGAATAATCACCATATCTCCCCCTTGTATATACAAAATCAAAGAACACAAGGTCCTAAAGAAACTATACACTTTTATCTGTAAGATGTTCCTTTTCAAAGACTGTCCTCTTGTTGTTGTGTACCGTGGGGTGAGAACCAACTCGTAGTTGACCCTCCAGAAGGTTTTCAGAAGTGGTTAATCACACAGGAGGAGACTGGCCATCCTTCTCCTGTGGAGCAGCTGGTGGATCTGAACTGTGTTCCTTTAAATTACAGTGAAGCTTATTGCCACTAGGCCACCAGAGCTCCCTTTAGAACCTACATAATCCCATTACATCCACAATGTCCTTCTGGATATAAGACTACTCAAGGCAGCTGCCAAATGAACGAATGATACCCTACCTGGGCCAGTACATTTAAAAAGAATGGAGTATTATAGAAAACAGGAAGACTGTAAGTGTGGAAAAAAAGCAAGTGTTTCCAAATCTACATTGGGTTAGCAACTATTCAAGGTGATAATGTTTTCAGCATTTTTCTTATATCTGTATTATTATTCTACATTTGCTATTCTCTTAGCATATTAAAAAAAATAGTTATTCTTCTATGGTAGCATAAACTACAGGTGTGCTTCTCATCGCTATATAAAACAAATTCAACTGTCCCTAGCTTCTGAACACTGTAAAAATTTTCCTTACAAAATTAGTTTTCTGTAAATTTACAGCAAACCACACACCAACTTAACAGTAAAATTGTAAAAAATGTTTTCACAGCCCCTCAGAACAAGCAAAATTGTTAGGAATACACTGAATAGATTTTTGTAATAATGTTTCACTAACTAACTTCTTCTCTATCTTATGTGGTATCTTCTAAAGTGGCTTGTATTTGTCTAACGGTTACAGATAAAGTATAAAGCATTATTATTTTAAGGATTTTTAAAAATAATTAATAGTAAATGGAAGTAAAAAGGTTAACAGAGACACTATTAAGGGGGGGGAAGGTATGTCTGAAAAATTCTATCAATTTTATCTGTCAGCTTTGTGTTTCCAAGACTCTGAATCTTAGTAGACTGACATAGCTTTCTTCCTCAGAACAGCTAGTAGGTTCACAGAACTAACCTTTCAAAGTAAGTGGCCAAGCACATACCCACTGGCCACAGGGCTCCTTCTATGATAGATATGATAATGGGTACAGGAATGAGAGAGGGGACTGGAGAGAAAAACCAGTAAATAAATACTAAGATGAGTGAATGAAAATACAGTAAAAGGGTGATATCCAGAATATCATTAAAAAAAAACAAAACCCAAAGAACATGGCAAGGCACATTCTTATCAGCAATAAACATTCATCTCCAAGTGGATATACTGGCAGACAGACAAGCTGAACAGATTTCAGCAGGAAAAGTGGACTGCACCTATAACCACATGATTTGTCAAAGGATATTTTTTTACATTTGTAATAGTATATGCTGTAATAATACCAATGTATATATAAGAGCTAACAGAAAACTTAGGTAAATTCTAGATCATAATCACTTTGGAGAAATAGTCCAAGCCTTAAAGATTGTAGTCTCAGGAAATATCAAGGTTAAGTTGCATAAGATAGTTATATATTAAAACAACTATGAGATATCATCTCACCCCAGTAAGAATAGCAAAATTTAACAAAACAGCAAGCAACAAATGCTGGCGAGGTTGTAGGGAAACTGGAACCATTATTCACAGTTGGTGGAAGTGTAAAATGGAGCAACCACTGTGGAAGGCGGTATGGCGCTTTCTCAAAAAGTTGCAAATAGAGATACCCTTTGACCCAGAAATGCCAATACTGGGAATATAGCCCATAACTGCCACCCAAGCAGATATATGCACACTCATGTTTATTGCGGCTTTGTTCACAATAGCAAAGAGTTGGAAACAACCTAGATCAAAATCACTTTGGAGAAATAGTCCAAGCCTTAAAGATTGTAGTCTCAGGAAATATCAAGGTTACGTAGCATAGGATAGTTATATATTAAAACAACTATGAGATATCATCTCACCCCAGTCAGAATAGCAAAATTTAACAGAACAGCAAGCAACAAATGCTGGCGAGGAAGTGGAGAAACTGGAACTCTTATTCACTGTTGGTGGGAATGTAAAATGGTGCAACCATTGTGGAAGGCGGTATGGCGCTTTCTCAAAAAATTGCAAATAGAGATACCATTTGACCCAGCAATTCCATTACTGGGAATATACCTATACCCCAGAGAGACCATGTCTGCCATCCAAGTAGATATATGCACACCCATGTTTATCGCAGCTTTGCTTACAATAGCAAAGAGTTGGAAGCAACCTAACGGCCCATCAACAAACGAATGGCTAGAGAAGCTGTGGTACAGCCACACAATGGAATACTTCGCAGCATTGAAAAACAAGGAACTCACACATTATTATTCAAAATGGGTCACCCTGAAGGACATTATGCTGAGTGAAATATCTCAGTTACAAAGGGACAAATACTGCATGGTGCCACTGTTGTAGAATGAGTCTGACATCAGGGTTGGGGTATGACAGAAAAAACTGGATAAATTATGTATACTGTATTGAAACAGATAAGGGAAAGAATAGATTAGAGGTGATTTATGACTGAGTATTATGGTTAGCACAGGAATCCAGAATTAAGGTTGCATAGAGAAGTGTACTCGGGGTGGGGGGAAAGGCATGGGGGAATTGTACACTAATGAAGGAATTTTTTTTTCTCTTTCTTTTTGGAGAGGGGAGTGAACTGGTGGGGAGGGGTGGACAGGGAGAAAAGTGCGGCAATGAATGAATTGAAATCCAAAACCTCTGTAAATATCTATTAAAATTAATAAAAGAAAAAAAAAGAATAAAATTTAAAAAAAACAAAAAAAGATAGTTATATATTATAACATCCTACATTGCTATGTAACACCCAAGTTGCAAAAGTTAGCAAGCAGCTATCTATGGTATAGTTATTATTGGCTTCTTCCCTGTCCAAAACAAAGAATAAAAAAAAGTAAGGTATATGTTCCAAAGATTAATGCTCTGCATGATGTGCTATCAAATGACTACAACTCACTGCAACTCTATGATGAGAATTTTGCCCTGCCCTGAGCCATCTTCACAACCCATGACATGCTTGAGCCCACTGCTATAGTCATTGTATAAATCCATCTCATTAAGGGTCTACCTTTCTTTCTCTAACCTTCCATCTTTCTCAATATGCTATCTTTTTCCAAAAACTGACCCTTTCATACAACAAGCCCAAGTATGTGAGACCAAGTTTCACCATCACCATTCTTGCCTCTAAGGAACAAACTGGTTGCAGTTTCTCCAATACCGACATATTTGTTCTTTTGGCAATTCTTGCTATATTCAGTAATTCTCCAAAACCACAACTCAAAAGCAATGATGATTCTTATTTATTATCCAACTTGCAGATGCATAGGAAATAACTGAAAATACTATTGTTTCGATCAGGAGCACCTTAGCTTTTGAACTGACATCATTGCTCTTTAGCATTTTAAAGAGGTCCCTGAAAGTAGATATTCCTGATGCAGCATGTCCTTGGATTTCTTGACTGCTGTCACCATGTGTATTGATTGTGGATCCAAATAAAATGAAACTGATGGCAACTTCAGTCTTTTCTCAAGTATCATGTCCCTTTCAAGGAATAATCCCACTGCACCCTCCCCAAGACATATTTATTCTTTTGGCCATCCATGAGATATCCTGTGCTCTTCTACAATACCACAGCTCAAAGGCATCAATTCTTCTGTCATTCCTATTGTCCAGCTCTCAGAAGCAAAGCAAGTGATCAGAAAGACCATGACCTGAATCAGATGCATCTTAGTCCTCAGACATCATTACTCCTCAATAATTTAGAGAGGTCTCTAAACGCAGACTTTCCCAGTGCAATACATCTACTGATTTCCTCACTATTGGTACCAAGGGTGCTGACTGTGGATCCAAGTAAGATGAAGTTGTTGACAGTTTCAATCGTTTCTCCATCTATCATGAGATTGCCTATCAGTCCAGTGCTAAGAATCTTTTTCTTCTTGACACTGATACTCAATGTCATGGAAGTAGTAATCAAGATATCCAATTATGTACGGTATTAGACAAATTTGTTGCCAAAAGTCTCTTTAAAATGCTAAAGAGGGTAACATTTTAAAAGCTAAGGTTTGCCTGACGTAAGCCATAGTATATTCAATTGCTCTCATGCTAAAGTTGGATAATGAATAGCTGACTAAGCGACTGAGATCTTTGACTTGTGATGTTGTCAAAGAGTAGTGACTATACCGTGGATAGTTAGGGAACTCTGGCAGCTTGGTGGGTAAGGAATTGCACTGCCAACACAAAGACAAGTGTTTCAAATATACTAGTTGCCAATGGGAGAAAAATGGTCAATCTCCATCTTGGGATTTTTAGCCTTAAAAATCTCACGGGAGGGTCAACTATGAGTTGGTTCTGACTCCACAGCAGCTAATGACGGGCTCTGAGGCTGCCAAAAGAATACTGAGTCTGTTTTGGAAGAATTACAGCCAGAGTGCTCCTTAGCAGCATGGATGGTGAGATTGTCATATATTTTGAAAATGGTATCAGAGGGGGGGGTTAGTCCCTGGAACAGGACATCACATTTTGGAAAGTAAAGCATTGGCAAAGGATAGAAAGATCCAGCACGAGACAGACTGATTCAGTAATT